CTTATATATATATTAAATGGATGAGTTCGGTATATATTCATAAAAAGGTTAATAAATTAATTAATATTTTTTCTTAAAATAGTAATGGATAAATAACTACACTTTAAAAAAAAAAACATTTTTTCACATATTATAAATGAAGATGATTTATTTTAAATACTTTTATTATAACAGAAAAAAATTAATTTAATACTTATTTAATTCATTAGATTGACCCTTAAGTAGTTCTAATAGTTCAAAAATGATTTAATCTGAATTGAACATAATTAAGTAGTTTTGAACTTGCTACGTGTGTGTAGTAGATTCAACCCCAAGTAGTTATGAATTTATTACCATGTGTGTAAAATAGTGTATCAAGGCAAAATTAAGCATCAAAAGTACTGTAAATCTCAATCTTATAATTATAATGGATGCTTAAGATTACCACGTGGATATCTAATTAAGATTAGTTTATCTAAATAAGATTAGTTCCTTTCAGTTCGTTTTCCTTCACCACTTAAAATAATATGCCTCACATCCTTTTCTATAGCCTGGGATTATATATTATAATTTGTTATATGTCATTTTGATTGTTCATGTCAAGTTTTATCAAAATTGAACGACTATAACAATCCCCTGGCTTATAATTTTTAAACATTAACCTATATACTCATATACACTCGCAATAACAAGCATAATTTATTTATTTTTAACTGTATACTATATAGTTGCTTTCTTTTTTAGTTAATGTCCAGTAGCATCTACCCGATACATGATTATCTACGTACATAAATATGATTAATTTTAATTCATAAGTAGTTAAGAATAAATAAATATTATTTTTATATAAATATCAATATAACTAATAATAACTACTTTTAAGCATAATTAACTATTATTGAACATTTCGATATCTTCATAATAATATTATCAATTTGTGAAGTAAAATTAAGTAATTAACCATTGTTAAGTATTTTAAATTTCCATTTGTTTACTATATAAAATTCTAATTTTACTACAACAAGATGTCAAAGTCCATGGGCTTTATGGGCCGAAAAGTTGTAGTACTATGAGTAATAAATGCCATTTGGGCACTTGGTGGGATTTGAAATGATGATGAATAATTATAGTGTGTTTGTTTTAAACTAACGTTTATTTTAATTTACCAAGACTCATACTTCTTCATTTTATTGCTTTGGAATGCCTGCTGCCAATTATACAAACACGCATTTAGTCTTCTTGTCAAGTTTGATTCCTGGGTAGTTTCTGCACTCTATGGTACAAGGCAGTTTTCTTTTCAATTATTTTAAATGCTATTTTATTAATAAAATATATTTATATAATTTAAATGAAATTACATTCCAAAATTCAATATAGAAAAAAATTTCCCTTATCAGGTTCCTTTTTCAATTGACACTACTTGCATTTGCACTAGTCATATAGGTTATGTTGGACTTTCTACAAGCTAAGGTAAAAATTGCTAATGGGGCCAACCCATTGATGCATTTAGGTAGGAGCAATTAGCTGATATACTTGAACAAATCAAATAATAATATGTAAATATTTTTCTGGAATTTTACTATATGTTCTTGATAGAAACTATTTAATGTTGAAAAAGATACGTGTGAGTTTTTTTTATGCACAATGAGTACCACTGCATTCGCAATGAGTGCAAAAATTTAAAGACTAAGGTGCACAGAGAATTGCACTTCATCTAATTTGACATGTCACATGTGACAATACTCAATTGTTGCATTTGTATGTAGTGAATTTAATGGTGGAGGGTGAAAAGGTTATTACTCTTTCAAAAAGGAACAACACCCACAGGGATTTGTAATTGGCATTAAAAATTACGGATTCACTTTGAACAAGAATAGGCAGATACTGTACTGTACAATACTTGTAACTAGGTCGAATTCTTTTGACCTGTGTTTAAATAAATTGGGATAGGTTGATCAACATTGGAATTTAAAACAAAATAAGAATGTTTGTCTAAACTTTTTCTTAAAATAAAATACTTGTAACTGTACAATACTTTTTAATAAGAATGTTTTTTTAAAATAAAATAAGCACTGTTTTTTTTTTTTTTTTGTGTTTGTCTAAACTTTTTTCAATAAGCAAATTTTTTTTTTTTTTAAAAGCAACTTCAATCTATTTTAAAAAAATTATTTTTTTAAAGCACTTGTTTAGAAACTTTTCTTTTTTTAGTTTAAACAAATGAACCTAATATATTAAAAAAAAAATGGTAGTGAGCTTATTTGTTAACCTACTAATCCAATCAAACTATTAAAATATGCTTAGTGGTTGAGGAATTAAGATAAATGTATAAATACTTAAATACGATTCTGGTTGTTGTCTTAAAGTACGAGAAAAATGGACTATTAAGCCCAAACTCATAAGCATCTCAAACTGAAATCAGTTATCTACAATTGTTTTACAATGCAAAAATTATAGATCTTGTATCTGTAAGCAGTTGCCCTTTCCAAACCACCAATTTGAGGTTGCAAAAAACGTGTTGCTGACTTTATAGACAAAGTGTTGATGCAGTGACCATAAAACTTTATTTGCATCTACTTGTCCCTCTTAAAGTACCACAGTGCAACATTGTTGACATTGTGCAAAAATACAGTGATGCATGCTTTACAGAAAAACTTCTTGAGACAATTTCATACTTGGGAAAGTCTCAACTCTTTTTATTGCTTGGAAAAAAAAATCTAATGTGTTTGGAAACATATGTAAACTTTCATGTCAAGTTGCAGAATTACGTGACAGCGACAATTCACAGCTTCTCAGTTGATACAGAAATACACATAACACGCATGAGTCATGATCAAACACATGTTTCATTGCATAGGATCCATTGGAATTGGGACATTTCATTGAAGATTAATAAATATCTATAGGTAGAAAAATCGTTTGAACTGCCACAAATTTCATATTTGTAGATAATGTAATGTAGTCCCTTGTTTAATTATCTGGCACCATAATATTCCAACAGAAGTTGTAAATAAAAGGTATGATAATGACATTTATTAATAGAAACTGGAAAGAAACAAAATTTCCATCCTAGCATGCAAAGATACACACAAAGAATCTACTTCAAGAAACGGTGAACTAATACACTATTACTTGCTATTATTTGTTTCTTATAAAAAAAATATCGAAAGTAATGAATGATAAGCGGGGAGCTATATCTGAACTAAACTTTGGCTCATTAAATATTTGAACAAGGTTCCTCATGCTGCTAGAAACATGGACAAGAAAGGTAAATCTCAAATAGCTTCAGAAGAATTTTATATACAAAACAGCCAAAAGACCATTTACAGTTATCAAAAGTGATTTTAGCCCTACCTTCTAAAGAGAGGTTCAAGTTCAACCGGATAATCCAAAATGCAGGTTGGGTTATAACTTATAAGTCTCCCAACATATTGAAAGCATGAGAAAGAACGATTTTTAGAAGAAGAAAATAAAAATAAAAAATAGATTTCTCCATAAACTTAAATTGGCTTACACAAGTTAAAAAAACATATTTTGAAAAGTTAATATGAGAAAGTTTCTGATACTTAATTTATGCATAAGTTAATTTTAACTTTTAGAGAAACTTTTTTCTTTTTTATTTTTTATTTTTTTTCTTCTCCTATATGTACTTAAGAAGAAATTTATGCCAACAGGCCCAACTTATTCATATCAACGATATGATCATCTGGGTCTAATCTGAGAAAGCCTATTGTTCCATATTGCATGAAGAATCATATGAAACAAGTCATATTTAACGGGAACTTTGTGCCACAGGAAGTGTTGTTGAACCTTCTTTACTCCTAAATGCAGTGCCAGGTACTTCTCTTGTGGGATTGAGAGAAGTATGGTTCTGAGACTAGGGATATCCCTTTCACGAACAAACACAGAAAATGCCTCCCACTTCAATACCTCAAATAAAGGAGGCACATAATTATCTGATATGATAACCGGCACACACTCAGAAAAAATGGCCTCAATTATTCTTGGTGTGTGAACCTCATAACCTCTAGCACATATGCAATACTTGCTGCTATTCATATATTCCATATACATTTTTTTACCTTCCAAATCACGTGACATTGGACCAAATATTTTCATGTCAGGTTCTTTATTCTCCCAGTGTTTTAGCAGGATTGAACGGAGATAACCATGCATGCTTCCTGCGAAAAAGGCTAGAATAGATCTTTCTGAAGGAGGTTTACCTGCAAATCTTCTTAGAGGATCCATCATAGAGTGTATATATGTAACAGGTAGAGTAGTGTCCTTCCCTATTTGGAAGCCTTTAGCAACATTAGAATTACAAAGAGACCTAATACAATCTTTCATTGGTTGCCTTGTGATATGGTAGGCCTGCAATTGCATACATCTCAATGGTTAATATTGCAGAAAATTCAAGCTAAACCATAGATTTAAGTTCAGCACTTGAAATAATATAGCATGGGGACATTAATACATTATCCCTTTTCACTAGATACATAGCAATATGCTGAAAAATTTCAAAAAGACAAATTTATCTTAGAATTTGTATCAAATTATATAGTGTAAACTGTAAAACATGCAGTACATGATGTTTTAGGACATTCAACAACTATAAGTAAATGGCAAAACTTGGTCACATGGTTCTAGAAAAAGGGTCCTCAGATCTAATGGTGTTGTACCTGTGCACCAGTCAAGTTGTGTGGGTGAGCCACTTTGTAATGACTATACGATCAACTCTACTATATGCAGCTAATGTATGATCTGATCAAATTTATGAATTGATATATGGTTATTTTCTTAAAAGAAATTTCTAAAAGGAAGTCAATCTTAAAAGAGAACTTTACTAGCAATATCCGGTAAAAATTTACATAAATACTAATAAGTGTTGCATTGGAAGTGTACCCAATCATGACAAGCAACAAGAAAATGGTCTGCTCCCCCAGTTCTGTTCCAGAAACGATATCTTCCTGCAATTAACTCTACATATTTCTCAAGGTATTGCTCCATCAGCTTACGGTCAGAAAGGGCAACTCTTAGCATTTGTGAACTGAATGGTAGGTAAAACAAATGAGCTTTTTGAGGATCCCTCACAATGAACTTTTTACTTCCCTCCATCAATTTCATAAACCACCCCTCTGAAGCATAAATTCCTCTCATCTTTGGTTGATGAAATATAGGTTTTGCCCCTTCTCTATAGATAAAAACTTTGAGCTTGCGCTCCATCAGCTCATAACTCCTAAAGAACACATGTATAGATGTATAGATGTGCTTTAATTATCTACTGAAACAAGACTTATGCATGAAAACAGGTTAGGAGAGAAAAAAAAATATGGTAGCTTAGTCATATTTATATTTGTAGATAAAACTACAAATGAATTCTTGAAAGGACAAAATTTAGTTACAATTACGATTGGTGTTATTCTTTTATCAGAAATAGAGTTTTATTTTGATAATATATGTAAATGTATACTTCCAAGATCTGCACTAAATATAAATATATATTTATGCATATTATTGAGGTAAAACTCCAATATGATTAAAAAACAATATCAACCATACATAAAAAATTGTATCTAAGTTTTCTCTTTCTAGAAATTAATTTTAGCAATTTAAAATCTATTCAAATCAATCACAGTGACACACTAACCAAAAACATACAGGGCAGCTTACAACTGAATGACTGAAATATGGATGATAAGAATGAAACAATAACACTCTAATATGCAATGCCATACATCTAACATATTGAAGAGTTGCCAGGATACCTTGAAAACTTGGAAACATCTCGGAAAATAGGTGCATAAAGTCCTGAAGAATTTGGTATAACACGGGCATTTTCAATCTCCAGTTTTGCAGACAAGAGTTCCCGGTCGCGTCGAGAGGACCATCTTACCCTCTGTCATCAATACATAATACATGAAATTAGGACTCCGTACAGATTCCACAGTAGCTAAAACTGGAATCACAAAGCTGAAGTCCATACCATATAAGCAGAATTAGAACTCTGAAGCAACAAAGAGTTCATATGCGTTAATGAAGCTGGCCACACCAACCTACTCTTGGTCGACGAAGTACCCATCTTAAGTTTATTATTCAACATGGACAAAGGAGATTTCAACACTTGCGGTTCCATTTCCACACTTTGTATTCTACTGACATTTGAAGGCTTTTCTACAGCTAGTAACATATCAGATGTGCTCAAATCAGCATACTTGGGTCGTTTCTGAGGGGAACCGTAAACTGCATCCTCATGATTTTCCACCTTTAAACTCTTATTATTAAGTATGTGACCCTTTTTTGAATTTCTGCCCCCATCAAATTCCAAGTCATTGACCAAATCAGCTTCTTTTTCAGAAGCATGTTCCTTTGAATGAGAGGCAAAAGTGACATTGTTTGTTGTGGATCTAAACACACCCACACCCTCCTTTTCTGAAGTTCCAGAAATAGAAAGTTCAACTGGGAAAGCCACTGAACTACCATCAGCATGCAACAGAGAATAATAGGTTGTCCAACCACATTGGAAAACAACTATCACAGCAAGGAACACGCCAACAATTAAGAATCTTCTAATTGGCACATGACACAACTTCATGGCTACAATAGAGATACCTATTTCATGCAAAACTCAATCGATTAATTTTCCCCAAAACTGAATTAAACGCAAGCCAGCCAAAGGACATGTTTCCAATAAATCTTCAGTACCAGCTACAAAGACTTCAACTTTGCAAAAATAACCAAAACCCGTTAACCAAAAAACACAGAAAAAGATAGAATTTTAATACAAATTTCCACTCCACCAAAACAAAATATGAAAGAGAAGAAAATCACAGAACATTACCTTAAAACCGTGACATTTCAACAGCTTATCAGTTTAGCTGTAGAATGTAGTATTGCTCAAATGCAGCATAATATAATATATCCTTGTTAGTGCATATAATTACGTTGTTGCCACTGTACGAAAGTTTAAAAAACAACATGATTGTCAATGATACACATTAGCAAACAAATTGTGGGAATGAAATTTTAATTATAATCGAAGAATATTCACGTTTTTTTTTTCTTCTTCTCAATTTTGCCAAATAATTCTAAGGATTAACAATTGATATTAAATTAAAAAGTATAAAACAGATAATTATTGTGATTTTATCAGAAATATGTCAAATGCAACCCCACAGGCACCAGAGCAATTGGAGTTGGAGACTCAAATAATGAAAATGAAGATGGAAGAGGCCGAGGACTTCAACATAAATTATGATCTTGGTGGAGAATGTTTAGAAATAAAAAAGTAAATAGGTATTAATTCAACAATGTCTTTGGAAGAGTTTGGAAGAAAATGAAGTGGAATGAATTTAGTTGTTTGTGTTGGAGTGTTTTGTATTGAAGAGAATGAGTGAAAGCTTAGTGCTGACTTGCGATAAGAAGCACAGACATGAAACTAATTGCAACTACGGGTGATAATTTTTTTACTCCATGTTCATATTAATTCCTGCCCCGATTGCAAAAACTATTAATCACATAATATTATCCTCATAATTATAGTTGATACATAATAAAATTTATCTGAATTCTTTATTTATATTATTTTGTTAAACAGTGATGAATCTATGATCGAAGTGGAACAGAATTATCCTGAAAACTTCAAAGCCTATTGTGACTGATCTGATTGTAAATAATTTTGCTTCACATGACTAATCAATCAATCAACGATTCAAATAGTTTAAGACAGTTGATATTACACACCCCAAAAAGAAGAGACTATTTTGAGACCTCTGCAAAATTACTGATATAAAAGTGAGTAGCATTTCACATATATTTCATTTCTCAGTTATGTCCAAAAATAAAGAAATCAGAAATGAAGAAAATCATAAAGGAGTAATGCAGATTTCTAAGATGGTGAGTGCAATAAAAGAATTATTGAAAAGGAAACGGGGAGTTGAGAGGACTGATCAATTTCTTTAATAAGCTATATTATATAATACTTCAAAGAATTCTAGCTGTACACAATAACTGTTAAATATATGATACAAAAAAACATACAAAAAATTAACAATTTAAATTTTATAACCTCAGATGACCCAAAACAAATATATATACAATTTTATTCTTCCATAAAACTTTCTATTGAAAGAAGAATATGTCAAATATATGTAGTATCTACAATCTCTGATGTTAGCTAAACTGCTAAGCTAAGCAGGATGTTGAACTGAGGATGCCATCTTGACATCCAACCATTTCCATACAGTCAGCAAACCAGTCCCGTCTCCAGTGAAAAAGAGTCCATCAGGACCTAACTCAAAAGTTGTCACCTCTTTCTTTGTAAATAAACGACCTCTCTCTGAAAATCTGCAAAATTTAATTACACATGGTCAGAGCCAGGGGACAGAAATAAATGTTGCAAAGGAACAAGAAATCAATCCAAGTTTACTTACGATGGCATATCATACAAACGAACTGAATTGTCTTTGCATGAGCAAAACAATATATGATTTCCTTCTGCATCAGTCATCCCGGAAAGTGCAACAACACCCTGTGATAAATATCATAACCAATATAAAATATATCAGCTCAGTTTCTATAAATGAAAACACAGTCAATAAGAACATATGTTAGCTAACTTACATTTTTCTCAGTGTGCGTGTATATCTCTTTCAATGTTATCTCCTCAGTAGCAGCCCAGACCTTAACTGTGCAGTCAAATGAACTTGACAACAAATAATGGTCCCAACATACAAGAGATGTAACTACATCAGTATGCCCATTGAGTGTCATTTCACACTCTAATGTATCTATGTCCCAACCCTGAAGAAAACAAGATAGAACTGGTTATACTCATAGGATGATAATACATCTATGATTTATCTAATCTTTGGTTCAGTTTTTTTATAAAAAAATCCACATGATGCAATAGACATATATTTAAAAAAGGATAAGACACATGCCTTTATGCTTTGGTCCATGGAACCTGAGTACAGCCTCTTCCGTCCAACAGTAAGGCAAACCACAGCTTTTGAGTGACCAGTTAGTGATGCAACCAATTCAAAGGGAGAGGAGGAGTTAGCTTCAGCACTTCCTCTCCATGCATAAATGACACCATCCTGGATGCATTTCAAATAATCAAATTATACGTTATACATATAAGGCAGAGAAGAAATTAAGTTCTAATTCAAAAACAAAACATCAATTCCAAATACCTCTGCTCCAGCAAAAAGTGTATCATTGCCAACAATCATGGAAAGGACTTGTCCTTTAGGTCCATCAAGAGTAAACTCTGATAAAGTTTGAATATTCCAAGCCTTCACAAAAAGTTAAACACAGTCAGTAACATCTCTTGTATATAAAACATTAATATTTGACCCAATGATACAAAAACAAAACAAAGACAGTAGAAAGCTTACCTTGACAGCATTATGTATACCAACAAAAACCCATGGTCCCTCGCTGATCAAAGAAGTGACTTTGACGCCAAAGTTTACCACATTACTACATCCACCAGTATGACAGTCCCATATCCGAACTGTCCCATCCGTACTGCCAGAGTAAAGTTTGTCGGATCCAACCGGAAGTGCAATTCCAGTGATAGCCTATTATCAAATTTCAGTAGAGAAATTCTCAAAAACGTCTATAAGATATTATCCAAAATAGTTTTTAAGTAACTTATTAACTCAAAAGTGAGATACAAAGTTTATAAACAGTATGTTTAGATATTCTAAACTTATATTTAAACACTCAAGAGTCAATTACCTTCTTGTGTTGTTGAAGTTTTGCTACAGAAGAAAGGTGATCACCGTGAAACCATGAATGCAAATTCCGACACTTTTGACCATATACGCAATTGCCATTTATCCAATATTTACATATGCTTGGCAATGATGATTTGCGAGAAGGCTTGACAACACTTGTCTCATCTCTAATATTTCTTGTGAGAGCTGTCTTCTTTGAGTTAGAGTGAGAGGAGGAATGAGAGTTCCTTGTGTATGTGTAAGGAGTATTGGCATAATGATAAGTAGTATGCGGCTCTGATGCGTGCGAAAACTTGCATGGATTTCTGTTACATCTCCCAGCCAGCCAATATGCACATGGTGATGTTCTCCCACGATGGGTTTGAATTTGTTTGGCCCTTCTTGCAACACTTACACCCATGATTCTGAAAAAACACAATCATTTCAAATCATATAAAAGGGAAGAGAGAGGATGATTACATGCAAAGAAGAAGAAGCAAACCTGATCAGAAAATAGGGGTGAAAAAGACTCTTTAGAATTCGAAGGAATGAAATCAATGATGATTGGAGAAGTAATAAAGAAGATCTGCTTCATGTGAAAGTCTTCATATGCAAAGGGATTATTTATAGAATATTTATTCCCGCCATTTTTTTATATATCATTCCAAACAAATTGTTCCAAATTTATTATTTTACCTCCTAAAATCTTTTTATATTTATTTATTCCCACCATTTTTCAATTTAATTGTTTTTTTTTCTTTTACAAAATAGTGTTATGTATACATGTTTCGAGATAAGTTGGTAGAAATTTTAAATATTTTCTTTATCATATATAGTAGTATGTGAAGATAGAAAATTTTTTTTTATCAAAAATGTCATAGACTATATTTAAACTATTTTATTGGTTATTATATCATGCTTCAAGATAAGTAGATAAATTTTTTTTTTATATTTTTTTTTTGAAAAACTACGATCATATGTAATAACATGTGAAGATAGAAAAAACAAATAAAAATGTCATATTTAAACTATTTTTATAAAGTATTTTTATAGGTTATTGGTAATAATTTATTATGATATTACTAATTAATTCTTATATATTTAGTTTAGTAGAAACTTAAATTATTTTCTTTTAAAAAGGTTGGATCACATATAGTGACAATGAAGCATGTGAAGGTAGAAAAAAAATTATCCAAAATGTTATAAATTATATTTAAACTACCCATCCTTAATGGATAAAAAACTAGTCACCATTAAAAAAAATGTTATAAATTAGTGGTATTAGTTTATTAATGACATTATTATTCGACACAAATGATTTTTTTTTTCTAAAATGTGAAAGACTATTTTATCTAAGAATGTGTTTAGGGATTATTCTTTTATAGAGGTGAGAGAATTTATAGAGATTTTTTTAATTTTTTATTTAATTTAATTTTTTATTTATCATATTTATGTATTTCTATAAAATAAATGTAAATGATTATTTTACGTAAAAATATTTTTAAGAATTATTATAATATTTTTTTAGGGTTTATTTATAAATTAAATTAAATATTTAAAAAAATTATCAATAATTAAAAATAATTTTATACTATAATATAAATTATTTATCTTATATTAAATGTGAACGACTATTTTATATAAATATCTTTTTAATGACTATTATTTAATGTGAATGTTTGTAACTTATATGAAATCAATTGATGATCGAAGAAGTAATAAAAATGATCTGTTTCTATACAGAAGTATTCACATGTTATAGAATATTTGATCCTTGCCAATAAAAAAATTTCTTTATTTCATTCAAAATAAATTATTCAAAAATTGATTATTTTACCCCCTACTCTTTTTATAATTTTTTTGTTTCCGCCATTTTTTAATTTAATTTTTTTAAAAATAATGTTATATATGCATGCTTCAAGATAATCAGGTTGAAATTTTAATTATTTTCTTTTTAAAAAGTAGGATCATATATAGTTGCTTGTGAAGATAGAAAAAAATTATAAAAACGTCATATATTATATTTAAACTATTTTTTAGGTTATTGGTATCATGCTTCAAGATAAATCGATAGAAACATCGTTTATCATGCTTCAAGATAATTCGATAGGAACTTCATTTATTTTCTTTTAAAAAGTAGGATCATATATAGTGGCATGAAAAGATAGAAATTTTTTTTTAAAAAAAATATGATAGACTATAGGTTATTGGTATTAATTTATTCTTATTATTCTTTATCAAAGTTCTAATTTCTCTTTGTAGCAAAAAAGTGAAACTGGGGTCAGAAATTGAATAAACAAACCCATCCTTGAAGGATTTATAAGTTGGGGATGATTTGTCACAAAGAATAAAAATTCTTTGATAAAAACCGAAAATTCAACACAAAAACCTAGAGAAACTCTTTTACTAGCTAAAGACTATTCTATAAAAAAAATGAGTCAAAACTTTTTATATTGTCAATATTTAACCTATTTATACTATAGATGTAAAAATCATTAAGGTCCATTCATAAGAGGTACACAAAAACTCCAAGCTACTAAACAACACAAATATAAAAGCACTTGTAAAAGACCCAACAAAAGCCCAAAATTACAATAATTGAAAAATATAAAAATTCAACGAGGCTCATTACAAAAATTACACAAATATTCCTAATCTAAAATAAAAGTTTGAAAGTGACAAAGTATGCATGATATTCATCTTCTTTCTATGGGTGTTCGTGGATATGATTTTTGAAAATTTCAAACTGAACCAAATCGTTCCATTTTATAAAAGTAAATCAATTAACTGGTTCATTTTTTTATAAAGTAGATCGGTTGAATTTTTTTTTTAAAATATTGATCATTTTTAAAAAAAAATTGGATCGATTCAATACAATGAAATTATCCATCTTATACCTATATATGGATCTTTTTTAAAAAATTGAACCAATCTACTTTGTAAAAAATGAATTGGATAACCGAAATGATTTTGCAAAATGGACTTACTCAGATTTTTACTTAAAATGGGTCAATCTTTTTAATATGAATTGGTTCGATTATGGATCGATTCATATAGGTTTGGAATTTTATCACACCCCCTACTTCCTTCAAAATTCAAATGTTTTCTCCCCTTCCATAGGCCAAATAGAATAGGCAAATTCCTCAATTCTACAAAAAGATCATCTTCCTCCCATCGATATAGAGGTTGCCTCCTCGTTGAAGTCAACTAGAAAAAAAAATAGATAGTTAAAATGCATATACTAAATAAAAATAATAAAAGAGCTACCAAACCACAATTAATAACTTTACTAAAAAATTGTAGGGAATTGTGATCTTGCAAAGCTAAGAAGAGTTGTAGGGTACACTCATCGAGTAACAATAATATTGAAAGTAGAAGCAAAGGCAGGACATCATCTTGAGAGGGACCAATACCAAAGTTACATTTTTTTAAAGAAGTCATAAAATATTTTTATATACAAATTTCAAAGGGACCTACAAATTTTGGGAGGATCGTAGGATTCTCGATCCCCATTAGCTTCTGACTAAAAGAGACTTCAACGACTAAAAGGTGATATAATATGTGAAAAAGAGATAGTATCCATGATCAAACTATTGTGATCCATTTTATAGTGCAAATTTTTTTTTAAAATAATATTTTTTTGGTCTCTTGCCAACTCTTTATATCAATAAATGAATATTTAATGATTTATATTAATTATAAAAAAAAATATTTAGTTATGTTACACAATAATTTTTTCTTCAGTCCAATAATAAGTGTCTTATAGGTAATATTCTTTAAAATGTTATTGTTTTGTTGCATCATTTCTAATAGAAAAAATTAATAATAAGGTTAATTATGACACCTTCTACCCCACATACATAATTATACAATAAATAGAAATTAAAATCTTTCAAAAATAAAACCAGAATCTCGATTATCATAAGTAGAGGATTCACATTCGTAATGCATAAAAAATAAATTCAAAATGAAAATTACAAAAGAAGGAAACTGAGATTTTCATAATAGTTTAATGGAAACAACATCTTAAACTAGTCCTAACTAAGCATCGATGTCTTATATCCTATCAGAGCATGTCCATTGAAGCCTAAGCCTCATCATCGACATCCTCAAGTTGATGATCATCTACAACACAAGGACAATATACATAGAACAAATAGGGTAGTGAGAAACGTCTCACTCGGGTTTAGGTGCAGAAATACAGGTTAGATAGTAACACACACAACAATCATAACAAGCTCAATCCATACAAAAACATTATCACATACACATACACATACACATACACTCATCATGTAATGATGTCGTTGACTCGACTTATAAATGCATGCATGTGACACCATACGAAATTTGCACATATATCATCACTAGCATGCTGATACAACAATACTTGGGGCACATATATCACTGGTGGCCTATGACACACCTAGAATTTCACATGGATACACTGGTATGTGGCCTTAGCAACACACCTAAATAGAGTCAGATATGCACATGATGCATGTCATACATTCAGTATTCATTGACTCAACATTTCACTTATCATAGATTCTCATATCTCATATCACGTTATCTCATACTATCATGTCACTGGTCACATGTTCACTTTTCACATTTTTACATCATATTTACATAGTCTCATACAAGGAACTTCTCATAGCCATATACATCAAAATAACACATAAACCATACCAGGAAATTATCCAACATCATACGCATTCAATTTGCAATTCATAACATACGAAGCATAAAGGTCATAGACCCTACTTCATGATTTTACACGTTTTTTTACAACCAACCAGTTAATATAATATTTCAATCAGTCAAAACACTCCAAATAATACCCAAGACACAAATCCATCATCATTTTTACATATAATGCCTCAAAATTCATCCAAATATCATATCCCGAATTTCACTTCATAGGATTTTTCACAAGAACTCACAAAGCACTCTAGTTCACATCAAAACTTTTCTATTCTCGAAATTAATCGTATATTCACATTCAAAAACTATCAAGGAACACAACAGAAAACTCAAACACGAAAACAAAAAATATTCAAAAAGTGCATGTTCCTAAGAGCATGTATCAGGCAAGGGATTGGGGCCAATCTCGCTACCAAACATATCTATTATTGAAATTGAACACATATCAACACTCAGAATCACACAAGGAATGTAACAAAATAATCAGAAAGCAAAACAGAAAACTTTCATAAAATGTTTTCCTATAGGCATACATCAGGCAAGGGATTCGAGATTAATCCGACTACCCTACATATATCTTCACACCTCCAAATGAGATTTCTCACCCCCTTACCTTGATGAGTAGAGGATGAAGTGTGAGCGAAATCTAGTTAGTCTTCTTCTTTGAGGTCTCCTTGTTCTTCAAAGCGTAAGAGAGAGAAAAATTAAAGTCCG